ATTATTATTATTATTATTATTATTATTATTATATTTAAAGTTCAGATAGAAACTGAGACGTTTAGTTTAGTTTAGTTTAACCTAAACTAACTGTTAAAAACTGGACCTGAAGCTAAAGTCAGCTGGTCTCCAGGAACCAGGAACTACAGGACTTCTGACCCGGTTCCAGGTCTGGACAGGTCCAGGTCTGATGTTTAACACAGGGTTCTTTGTCTCTCAGGTCTGGAGGAGCTGGTTCTGTCTGAGATCAGCAGTCCCAGTCGGACCCAGCAGACCGGGGACTCGTCCTCCGTCTCGTCCTTCTCCTACAGAGACATGATGAAGGAGCCCACCAGTCAGAACAAGGTGGGTCACTCTTCATCAGCTGTGGGAACAGTGGATTCAGAGACCTGGATCAGGTGGTTTTGACCCAGTCCAGGTCTCTGATGCCTCAGGAGGGTGGGGAGCACTCCTCTGTTCGGGTCAAGGTTTCCACAGGAAGAGGACAAGTCCAACAGTCTGTCACTCTGTCCACCAGTCTGGAGGAGGAAGTCCTCAGTCTCAGCGTCCCGCCGAGCTGTCTGACGACGAGGTGGGGGAGCTCTTCCAGCGCCTCGCCGAGGTCCAGCAGGAGAAATGGATGCTGGAGGAGAAGGTGAGGACCTGTTGCCATGACGACCGCCTTCATTGACCAGGATGAAGAGTTGGACTTGTCCATCTGAAGCGTCTCCTGTTGCAGGTGAAACATCTGGAGGTGAGCTGCTCCTCCATGGCTGAAGACATCTGCAGGAAGAGCGCCATCATCGAGACGTACGTGATGGACAGCCGCAGAGGTGAGACATGACCGTCCATCGTCCAGGAGGGGACAGCTGAGGGACATCTGATGTGTAGACTGGTGCGAGTCACAATACGACTCGCACCAGTCGAGTGGTTCGAGTCATTCACTATTTGGTTTGTGTGAAGAGAGTCAGTTGATGTGAGTCAGATGATGTGTAGGCTGGTGCGAGTCACAATACGACTCGCACCAGTCAAGTGGTTCGAGTCATTCACTATTTGTGTTGTGTGAAGAGAGTCAGTTGATGTGAGTCAGTTGATGTGAGTCAGTTGATGTGAGTCAGTTGATGTGAGTCATGTAATGAGTCATTTGATGAGTCATGTAATGAGTCAATTGATGTGAGTCATATGATGTGAGTCATGTAATGAGTCATTTGATGAGTCATGTAATGAGTCAGTTGATGTGAGTCAGTTGATGTGAGTCAGTTGATGTGAGTCATGTAATGAGTCATTTGATGAGTCATGTAATGAGTCAATTGATGTGAGTCATATGATGTGAGTCATGTAATGAGTCATTTGATGAGTCATGTAATGAGTCAGTTGATGTGAGTCATGTAATGAGTCAGTTGATGTGAGTCATATAATGTGAGTCATGTAATGAGTCATTTGATGAGTCATGTAATGAGTCAGTTGATGTGAGTCAGTTGATGTGAGTCATGTAATGAGTCAGTTGATGTGAGTCAGTTGATGTGAGTCATGTAATGAGTCAGTTGATGTGAGTCATATGATGTGAGT